ATATATATATATATATATATATATATATATATATATATATATATATAGTTTTATGTTATATATGAATGTCTCTCAGTGCCCTGAGATGCCTTCTGTTGTGACTTGGCGCTATATAAACAAACTGAACTGACTTTCTCATCCCTAGATGCTGCTACACACCAAAGTGGAAGCCAGTAGTCACTGTTCAAGTTATTACACAAAAATAAACTTCTCTGTTCCTCTGCCATCCAAACAGCAAACATACAGCAGATGAGTTTTTTAGATGCTTCGTGCAAAACTCTAGCTTATTTTCTGAAATTTGTTACAAGATAAATGTTCAAAGCTAAGTTTAAACTAATTTTACATCAACTTTAAGTGGATGTGGCCTGTGATGGCATTCTATTAGTTTAAAGTCTAATTTCTTCATACACTCAACATTTTCGGATTACTTGTTATTCTGATGTTTGAATTTGGACCCCGAGGGCTGGACCTGCAGCTGGATCGGTGTGTAACCTGTTCTCAGAGGAACTAAACAGATCTCTGCTGGGACAGAGAACCTTAAGATTCAGGGCGTCTTGACACTGTGTTTACTTGTGTTTGTTGAACGACTTGCTTTGCTCTCTCTTAACACAGTTATCTTGTTAAAACCTGACCAGAATGAAAGTGAAAAGTTTAAAATGCCCAGAAAGAACGGGGCGCTGCAGTTTAACGCGGAAACCGAGATAAGCTGCCCACGTTAGCTGCTATGCTAAAAGCTCGCGCCAACAACATAGAAAATAAACCTTTTTAAACCAAGCTTTACAAGTTTTCACACCGGCAGTGAAGTATAAATGACAAAATACGGCTCGATAACTCCCAAAAAGCGAATTTAGGCGAAATTTAAAAACTATAGTAATGGTTTGTTTGTACGCAGGAAGCTAACGACGGCTGCTAGCTAGCTTGGTTAGCAATTTGTTTGGGTCGACCATAAACTAAGCCACGAAGCAAACATTTCCACTGTGACGACTGGTTAACACAAATAAAACTAGTTTAACTTCAACTAGCTCTACTAGGTGCAGTTTGAACCAACAATAAGGAGTTTAGCAGTGCTTAAAGGTCATCTCACCACACCAAATCCCCGATCCTCAGATGCACAGCCGCCATCTTTCTACTTTAATAAAAACGTCGCACTGAATTCGAGCAGAGCGGAAACACACCCACTCATCAGGACTCGAACCCCCGCCTCCGAGCTGCTGCTGCGTGCTGCCACCTAAAAACACAACTTCCACTAGGACGGTATGGAACACCAAAATGCTCAAAATTAAATCAAACATTATGAAATTAAAACAATTTTCATTTTTATTCTTTTATTTCATATTTGTGTTTTCCATGATAGCTTATTTATTTCATAATGACTCTTTTCAGCATAATGACTTCAGCTGGAGTCCTTGGCAGGGGTGCTGGAAGGTGCGCCAGCTGGGGACTCCTTTATTCTGCTGGAGGACTTCAATCCCCATGTGGGTAATGACAGTGTGACCTGGAGGGGCGTAATTGGGAGGAACGGCCTCTCTGATCTGAACCCGAGCGGTGTTCTGTTGTTGGACTTCTGTGCTAGTCATAGTTTGTCCATCACGAACATGTTCAAACATAAGGGTGTCCATAAGTGCACTTGGCACCAGGACGCCCTAGGTTGTAGATCGATGATTGACTTCATAGTCGAATCATCTGATTTGCGGCCGTTTGTTTTGGACACTCGGGTAAAGAGAGGAGCTGAGCTGTCAACTGATCACCACCTGGTAGTGAGTTGGATCATATGGTGGGGGAAGATGCCAGACAGACCCGGTAGACCCAAACGTGTGGTGAGGGTTTGCTGGGAACGCCTGGCAGAAGAACCCATCAGAGAGATCTTCAACTCACACCTCCGGGAGAGCTTTAACCGCATCTCTAACCCTGTCAGAAAAACAAAGAGTCACTAATCTGTGCATGATAATGGACCCTTCCCTGAAACTTAACAATCATGTAAACATGATTGTAAAATCGTGCTTCTTCTAACTGAGGCGGCTGTCTAAACTGAAGCCCATATTGTCCAAAAATAACCTGGAGACAGTAATACATGCATTCATTACATCTAGGCTTGATTACTGCAATTCGCTCCTGTTTGGTATCAGTCAGACCTCCATTGCACGACTACAACTGGTCCAGAATGCAGCAGCCCGATTTTTAACCAGTACAGGCAAAAGAGAGCACATTACACCAGTTTTGGCCTCAATGCACTGGTTACGGTTCACTTTCGAATCCAGTTCAAAATACTCATGTATGTCTACAAATCACTGAACAGTGTCGCCCCCCACCCCCCCCCATCTCTCTGATTTGCTACAACCGTATGTCCCACCACGCTCCCTGAGGTCAGCGGACCAGTTGCTCCTCACAGTTCCAGGAACTCGTCTTAAGCGCAGAGGTGACAGGGCCTTCTCTGTAGCAGGACCAAGACTCTGGAACGAGTTACCTCTGTTTGTCCCGTTTAAAAACTCACTACTATTCAGTAGCTTTCAACACCAGATGATCTGTGTTTTGATCCTGTATGCTCCACACTGGTTTGTCGTCATTATCTGCATCGTTTTTATGTCTATGTTCTGATTCACCTCATTTTGTATTTTGCTTTGTGTGTTACCTGTTGTTTTGTCTGTACAGCACTTTGGTTGGCTTTGTAGCTGTTTTAAGTGCTTTATAAATAAAGTGGTATGGTATGGTATCCCAGCTGAGGTGGGGGACATTGAGTCTGAGTGGGCCATGTTCCGCACCTCACTTGTTGAGGTAGCTGCCTTGAGCTGTGGCCGCAAGGTTGTCGGTGCTTCTTGCTGTGGTCATCCACGAACTCGGTGGTGAACACCTCGGGTTAGAGAGGCTGTCAAGCTGAAGATGGAGTCCTATCGGGCCTTGTTGGCCAGTGGGACTCTTGAGGCAGCTGAGGAGTACCGGATGGCCAAGCGGTGTGCAGCCTTGGCTGTTGCTGAGGCAAAAGCTCGGATGTGGGAGGAGTTCGGTGAGACCTTGGATAGAGACTCTCGGTCGGCTCCGAGGAGATTCTGGCAAACCATCAGGCGGCTAAGGAGGGTAAAGCAGCACTTTACTAACATTGTGTTCAGTGAAGGTGGGGAGCTGTTGACCTCAACCAGTGATGTCGTCGGGAGGTGGAAGGAATACTTCTCGGAACTTCTCAATCCCACCAGCACGTCTTCCATGGAGGAAGCTGAGTCAGGGGACTTTGGGGTTGATCCGTCCATAATCGTGGCTGAGGTCGCCGAGGTAGTTAAAAAGCTCCAAGACGGCAGGGCTCCGGGAGTGGATGAGGTTCACCCTGATTTCCTTAAGGCTCTGGATGTTGTGGGGCTGTCTTGGCTGACACGTCTTTGCAATGTCGCGTGGACATCGGGGGGAGTGCCACTGGACTGGCAGACTGGGGTGGTGGTTCCCCTCTTCAAAAAGGGGGACCGGAGGGTGTGCTCCAATTATAGGGGCATCACTCTTCTTAGCCTCCCAGGTAAGGTCTATTCAGGGGTACTGGAGAAGCGAGTCCGATCGTTGGTCGAACCTCAGATCCAGGAGGAACAATGTGGGTCCGTCCTGGCCGTGGAACACTGGATCAGCTCTTTACCTTCACTAGGGTCCATGAGGGGTCATGGGAGTTTGCCCATCCAGTCTACATGTGTTTTGTGGACTTGGAGAAGGCATTCGACCATGTTCCTCGGGGTACACTGTGGGGGGTGCTCCGTAAGTATGGGATTGGAGGCCCGTTGTTACGGGCTGTTCAGTCCCTATACAAGCGGTGCGAGAGTTTGGTTCGCATTGCCGGCAGTAAGTCGGACCCCTTCAGGGTGGGAGTTGGACTCCACCAGGGCTGCCCATTGTCACTGATTTTGTTCATAACTTTTATGGACAGAATTTCTCGGTGCAGCCAGCTGGCGGAGGGTTTCCTTTTCGGTGGCCTCAGGAGTCCATCTCCGCTTTTTGCAGTTGATGTGGTCCTGTTGGCATCATCGTGCCGTGATCTTCAGCTCTCACTGGAGTGGTTCGCATCCGAGTGTGCAGAGCTGAGCTGTAAGGCAAAGCTCTCTGTTTACCGGTCGGTCTACGTTCCTACCCTCACCTATGGTCATGAGCTCTGGGTAGTGACCGAAAAAATGAGACTGCAGATACAGGCGATTGAAATGAGTTTTCTCCTCAGGGGAGCTGGACTCTCCCTTAGAGATATGGTGAGAAGTTCAGTTATTTGGGAGAGACTCAGAGTAGAACCGCTGCTCCTCCACATTGAGAGGAGCCAGTTGAGGTGGTTCGGGCATCTGGTAAGGATGCCCCCTGGGTGCCTCCCTAGAGAGGTGCTTCAGGCATGTCCAACTGGGAAGAGACCCCGGGGAAGACCCAGGACACGCTAGAGAGACTATGTTTCTCAGTTGGCCTGGGAACACCTAGGAATCCTCCCAGAAGAGCTGGAAGAGGTGGCTGTGTAAAGAGATGTCTGGGCCTCCCTGCACAAGCTGCTGCCCCCGCGACCCGACTTCGGAATAAACGGAAGATAATGGATGGATGGACTTCAGCTGTAAATCAACGTCAGTGGGTTGGACCTTCCCTCCCACTGGCTGATCCTTCACATCTGCTGTTATTGCTAGTATCACTCAGCCCCCTGTGAATAGCAAGCGGCCATCAGGGTGCTAACGATCCATTGTTAGGCTGATAGTCCTCATTCATCTTGTGAACAGCTGGTTTTGGCTGTCAGCAGCAAACTGGTTAATGCACTATTAGAGGACGTGCTATATTAAGACTGAGCTGAATACAGCTCCTCAGACTGAAGAAGTCTTCTGGATGAAAGACAAAACGTTTCTACAATTTTTTTGTTTTTTGAACCCGTCCAGAGGACCTGACTGAACTTTTTTAGACTTCACATCCAATAGTTTTCCTGAATACTTGCCGTTGTGGTGGTACTCACTGGTACAGCTAGCATAGCAGCTAGCAACGACTTGCTAGGTCAACAGTAATGAAGGATGGCAGCGTTGCATGAACTTCGTTCAGCTCAGGTAACTTGAGCAAATCAAACTGAGATGATTACATTCTCAGAAGATAAAGGTGTCGTGACAAAAAGTAATGGGCTGCCAAAAATGGATCAAGAGCGCGCACGGGAAGAATCACTGTTTTAGTTCTTTGAATTTAACAAGATTAACACGTAAAAAGGATTTTTGTTTCCTCTAAATTATATCTAAATTATTAGCTCTAAATTATGTCTGTGAGTGAGCAGGTAAGGCAGCACGGTGGCGCAACTGGTAGAGCTGCTGTGAGCAGGTCCCTGGTTCCAATCCCGGTCCGGGGGCCTTTCTGGGTGGAGTTTGCATGTTCTCTCTGTGCATGCGTGGGTTTTCTCCGGGTACTCCGGTTTCCTCCCACAGACCAAAAACATGCATGTTAGGCTGATTGGTAACTCTAAATTGTCCCTAGGTGTGAGTGAGAGAGTGAATGGTTGTTTGTCTTTATGTGTCCCTGTGATGGACTTACGACCCGTCCAGGGTGTACCCCGCCCCTTGCACTGTGATTGCCGGACATGGGCACCGGCGACCCCCGTGACCCAAAATGGAAGAAGCGGGTAAAAGATAATGGCTGGATGGATGGATTGAGCAGGTATTCAAGAAAACTAATGGACGTGAAGGATCAGCCATTGGGCGTGCCGGTCCAGCCCACTGATGTTGACTGACAGCTGAAGTCATTCTGCTGAAAAGTGGTATTATGAAATAATTAAGCCTTTATGAAATAAATAAGCCATCGTAGAAAACACAATTATGAAACAAATAAGCCATGAAAAACACAAATATGAAATAAAAGAATAAAAATGATTTTTTTTATGTAATAATGATTTACTTATTTCATAATGCTTTATTTATTTATTTAATTTTGACCATTTTGCTGTTCCATACACAGGCAGCTATAACGTGGTTGTTTTTATTATTTGTCTTATTAGTCGGGTATGTCATGTATATAAAATTAATTTTATTAGTTTGTTTTGTTAAATTGTTAGCTCTTTTTAAATGTGTCCTATGGGAGATGACTGGAGTGGGCAGTGATAACGTGGTTGTTTATTTTATTTATCTTTCTGTCAGAGAATAAATCGAGAAATCGACTATGACCCTAGTCAAGCTGTGTCATGGCCAATGTCTTATATGTAAACAAAAACAACAACACAACGCAGAGGTGTGACCAGTTACATGTGGCTACATAGGCAGACGAAAGGTTCCTTTTGA